CTACTGTATGACGTATGCATTGCGTCAGCATGTGTTTCCCGCCTTCGGAAGAAGACGAGAATTAGCTGGCGAGCGGAGCAGACGTCGCTCGATCGCTCGTATATTATTTCATTAATTGTAATCCTAATGTAATTTATGTTTGTAAATAGTAATAAATGTATGTTATCAACTATGGTCGTTGCCTTTCCCCACACTACTATATCAATACATTGATGTGTTACCGAAATGATGAACAGAGGAAGAACAAAATGAAATATTAAGTGTTAATTTTCTAACTGTTTATCATTTAACTATCATGCATCAACTATGATTGAGATATGCTCTCAGCCTGCAAAATTTCTATTTCATACATCCGTTTCAAATTTCGACTGTGTTCTCATGGAACAAGATTTTTGGAAAATGCAAGACGGAGTTATTTCGCCTCCTCAGAAACAAACTGCAGTATTTTATATTTTGTGAAATACAGTGATGCGTTAACTATGAACTATTTAACAACCGAGTATTTATGATTATGCATTTCCAGCTGAGCAGAAACAGGAATTTTGTTTTCAGAATGAGCGAATATTTCAATTTAAAGACCTATTTCTATTTTCTATTCTACCTTTTCAAAAACAAAATTTTATATTAATGTTATATACAGGCAGTAACAGAGTTGATGGTCCCAACTGTGATGGGTGATAGAATATTATAAAAATTAACAGTTTTTGTAATACAACGTGTATTGGAATGGGACATGTAAACGCCGAAACACAGCACGTGCGAAGAATATGAAGAACGAAAAGCTGTTTTAATCACCACATAGCTACAGGAAATAATATTTCAAATTGAGAAGAACTGTTAAAAATGAACTTCAACAATTTTAATATAGCATGCATCACAATGGCGACGATTGGAATGATGTCTGTCACGTAATGTACAGGAAAGCCCAGCAAAGTTCTCTAAAATGATATCCGTTATTGTTGTCATGCATCCATTAAATTCCTATGACTCTTAAATACTATTTCTTGTGAACATCCATGATTACTGTTTCCATGATTACTGATTAATACTGATTTTTCGTTTACATTTTCTTCGCACTTTTCCTTTATTTTGTATTTCGCCATACATTTTATTATGAAAACTGATATGTTTTTATGTTCTATCGTCTTTCAAATTGTGATCATCAGTTTTGTTATGCACTGCATATAATATGATACTTAAATAACGCAACTGATATGTGTTTCGTAAGGAAGAAAAACATACAAAATGAAAACGGATAAAATAAATAAAGGGAAGATTTTTTTTTTTTCTGTGTGACAGCTAAATAAGTTGCAATAAGGAAGTAAAATTACATTTGGATTGAAATTAACATGTTTGAGCTTCAGAGCAAGAACCTGCGTAAAACTGAGAAATATAATTATACTGATAAATGAATTTTTCATAAGTAATGTAATGTGGAATATTATTGTGATCATTTTACGGAACCCTAAGCTAATACAGTACTTTAGTTTTCATTCAGTATTTCAAAACCAATTTGCCAGCTTCAAAGTTGTTGACCTGAAAAAATTTGTTCATCTTTTAAGAAAATTATTATACGTGGTATTCAAAAGGTCTAAGAAATTGTCATGGTTGAAATCAAAATTGATAATACTAAGGGTATAGATGAAGAAGATTATGTAGACATGCATGCATACAATACATACATACACACATGCATATATGCATATAATTAATTATACAATTAAAATGTAAATAATTCCTACCAGTGAGAAATTAAAACCTTTGGAGAGCTATTAGTGATACCATTATTCGGCTTTAGTTTTCTGAAGAAGAAAATCATCAAGTTTTCTTACTAACATAAATTACACTATTGTGCAAAATTAAGAGGATTTGCATATTATAATTTTTTTCTGAAAAACTATTAACCAGTAGACATATTATTATTTAACTGGGTATGAATATATATTTATAACACAGAAAGAAATATACCATTCAAAGGTAATTTTAGATGCGCATGTTTAACAGTAAAGTTCCTGTCAGTAAGCACGAGTATCTAAAATCCACGTCGTGATAATGAAGTGAAAATGAGTCTTAGATGATGTATCATCCGCTCTCACAGCCAGACTGATCGCGCAGCGTGACGACACACTGGACTAGAGGCAACTGAGAAGTTCCTGTGGTAGATGATCCCACTCCAGCAATAAAGTTTTCAATTCCGAGATGATTTTCAGTAGGGGATGGCTAGATGAAATTGTTTTCCCCAAAGCACCCAAGACGTACACTTTAGGGTTAAGATCAGGAGTTCAACCAGACAGTTCATGCGGCGAATATCATTACCTTCAACGAATCGCCCACCTGCTGAGCCCTTTATGAACGAGCGTTGTCGTCCTTTAAGAGGAACCCGGGACCATCTGCCCCCCCTGAAAATTGAGCATAGTGCTCTAGGATCTCTTTTATATACCTCATAGCAGTCAGGGAGACGTTGTCAAACACATACTATGGTGTACGGCCATCCAACATTATGCCTGCCCAAACCATTACACACCCAACAGCGTAATGATCCTTTTCTCTACCAAGAGAGGGATGGTATAATTTGCCCAGGCTCTATCCAGCTACAGGTAAATCGAATATCAATGCGCAAGCTGAATCTGGACACCATTTGCGAAACACACTGTGCTCCACTAAAGTCTGGTCAAGGCACTCTGCGATTTGAAGGCGACCAGTTGCAACACTTCTCCAAATGAAGCAGATGTTTATCTTCAACGTGCGAGGCTGTTGCTACTTGCAAAAATGAGGACTAAAATTAGCGTTTTCAGAATTTTCAATTAATATCTCGGCTAATTAAAGTCGTGTGAAGTTGATAATTGTCGAAATAGCTCCATACGAATTTTTGGAATCGGGAGTTATATATTTAATCATTCGCAATGCTACTTTTATATCGTAATTCGTAAAACTTCAAAATTTTTAAGCAACTCTACGATTTGAAAGCGAATAGTGGCAACACCTTTCGAAATAAAGAATATATGTGTCTTATCTCCAGCGTGCGAGATTGTGGCCACTCGGAAAAAATGAGGACGAAAATTAGCGTTTTCAGAATTTTTAATTAATATCTGGGCAAATTAAAGTTTTACAAATATGAGAATGGACGAAATGGCTTCGCACGAATTTTTTAATCCGGAATAACCCCTCTTGAAACAAGTCTCCACCGTTTCGGAGGAGATAATGCCACAAACCAACCGACCAACGAACAAACAGACGCACACAGATTTTAATAGTATAGGTTGTAGATCCGAGGAGAAAGACCTATGTGCATTTCATAGATGCTTTATTTACTTAAGTTTTTCTTGTATAAATACATATTTTAGACATTTTATTTTCATTGGTTAATTCCCATTTAATCATCTTTAACATTACATATCTGAAAACTAAATATGTTATTTAAAATTCTTTTTTCGTATGAAATACTTATATCCTTACACGACTTCAGTATATTATAGCAAGCAAGCGTTTTTCATCAGACGAATGATACATGAGCCTATTAGTGATATGAATGAGAGTGATGATTCATTTCCTTAAAAGTTAGAAAGCGGTATTTCTAGTAATTTTCATATGGACATTTTGTCAGAGACTGAGCTGAGTGTGTGTCTATCTTCCAGTTTACGTGAAAGATTTTAGATTTTGTAAACAGATTTTCTTGTAACTCTCCTTATTAATTTAAACGTTTATTAAGGTATTTCATCAATTAAAACTTTGGAATAATTTGAATAGTGTTTCCGAAAAATATTTCTCAAATTGAGCAATTTTTTATATATATTAAAGTATAAGAAAAAGATATTTAAATGCTAATCATAAAGCATTCCATTCGGAACCATTTCTTTCCCCTTATGTTTATATTATCAAAAACCACGTTTAGGTGAGTTATGCTACTCTCATATTAAGTAGAAGGTCAAACCTACATGCATCTAAAAATATATGGACAGAGAATGCCATCTCGCGCCAAACGTTAGAGTTTTTAAAACGTTCCAGTACACTAGCCGAAATGTGTGATGGCCGAGGTCAACGAGAAAACTCTCTGGCACGCCAGTGCGTCGGCTTCTAAATGAGTGCTTTTATTCCTGCACATGTACGTGACAGTCGACGCGAAAGGGTTAAATATTCAGATACACCGCTCTCGGAACAATTCCTCGCAGAGTTGTTTGTAACACCCAGCACACCGAAATCAATAGCCTATCATTAGCGAATTTCTAAAAGAACTTAATTGCGCAATTAGAAATGTGAGCCAACGTATCGGCGATGTGTCGTTTTCTCTGGCAAAGAACCCATTTCAAACAGAAAGTTCAAAATTCACTTATACGCTACGTAAATTGAGTTGTAAAAGGAGCGAAATTACAATTCTTTCTTACATTATCTGCATTTTGTTAAATTCAAACTGTAAACCTTGTAAAATTATTTAAACGTTTTGCGTTACAGATTATACAAAACTCACTCGTCGGACAAAGTAGTGTTAAAAGTTCTTTAATCCAGGTTCACAAGTGGTAGTTCTGTGCACTGAAAAGCATTAATTTGAATAGCAGGAGAGGGAACACATTCGTATTGCTCGCTTTAGGATACCAAATGCTCATAGCACCAGGAAGACATATCAACGTTTCGCGTTTTATACAGGACATCATACCAATATTGATGATGCCAGCCTATAGCTCTCATGATGAAATTCCTCTTTGACTCTTGTAGAAGAATTAGACTCTGTTCCTCGCGTACATGGTAGTCTAAATAAAAATGGGTTCTTATACCACCGTAGAACCATCAAGCGCAAAATGGCAACATTGGCATCCGAAATATTGTTAAGTGAATCAGAAATGCTCCGAAAACCGCATATCTGAGAACATTTACTAATAGCAGGATTTAGCATCAGTATACAGAATATAGGAATGCATTCCTAGAGGTTCACACATGCAAAACAATTTATTATACCCCATAGATTTATTATTTAAGAAATAAAACAAAATTTTGTAAGAATATACCTGGTCCATAAGGGCCCATTCCGTAAACTCCAGGACCTGAAAAAAAAAAGCATTAATGATTACATTTCCCAAAATTTTGTATGCATACCCTACTGCCTTTGCAACATTAATTCAATTCTTGCAAATTAAAACATTGGTAAATGAATTATTAGATGAATTAAAACTTCTTTTTAAGAGAATATTCCTAGGTTTTGTCCATGAATTGTTTTGATTCCAAAACCTTCTTGAACTGAAAACAGAAATTTATAATGATAACATTCGCGGAAATGTTGCATTTATAATCTTCTGCATTCATAACGTTAGAAAGGTAGATACTAGTATTAATTAAAATATCTTTTACTGATTTGGATTTATACTCCTATTTGTCCATTTCTGAGCGTTGAAGGCAATATGTATGTATTACGAATATCTCCAGAAGAATTATAAATCATTCAGATATACCGTTTTTCTCACATTTTCTCGCGGTACTTGATTCTCTCATCCAACTCTACGAAGCTATTTTCCTGACGATTAGCGATTTTACTAATCTCAGGTAAATGCGCAGTTCGAAAATTGAGCCAACGTTTTGGCCATGTACTTTCTCTATGGATAGGAAGCCATTTTATTAATACGTTCAGAGTGAAATTATATACTACTTATAAGAAGCGAACTTACAATCCTTGCTGACAAATATCATCTAAATATAAATAAAATCAAGCATGAAAGTCCTTGGATTTATACCAATAAATAAACATCATGGCATTCAAAAAATGCAAAAGTCTCAAGTTTTCTAAAGGCTCTTGCTTAAGCCCCTTTTTTGGAATTTATATTAAACGAAGTATTAAAACTTCGACAATATTAACTATACCCATATCCAAGCATATGGAGATGATTTTTTTTCTCATTGTGAACGCAAGTAGCCGGAAAATCAATAGAAATTAACTCCAAATTTTCTTTTAAAAATCTTTTCCGCCAATTGGGACAGATAAATTTCATCTTAAAATTTCAACTGTACAAAATGTAAAGCATTATATATCCCAAAAAAGAGGTACCTCTCATCAGTAAAAAAAACCTAAGAAAATCCAATAATTAGAAATTTCTCCAAGACAAAATATCAAAATTGACAAGAGCATTACATATCTGGAAATAAGTAATAGATACTCGGCAAACCTGGCATTACCAATATTCTTTATCTCAAAAAATCCTTCTGCACAATTCTCTTTCGATCTGTGAACAGCAAGCAACTTTGGGGCATTTCCTCAAAATTAGAGTAATAAAATATGGTACATAACTAGTTATTGAAAAAGCTACTACTATATGAAGCTTCAGCCTGGGCTTTAACCTTGAACTCCCGAACTCAAAAACATTTACTCTCAATCCAAAGAACATTTTTATCCCCTCTCTAGGAAAAGCATATAGAACTACTCCAACTAGTGCACTACAAATAATAACCAGGAACTTTCCAGCATCTGAATCTCTAATAAAAGGAGGAAATAAAGTAAGAATATCAAGACTATGAATCCAAAGCATTATTAATAATATTAATTATCAACACATAGACTTTAAAGATAAAAACAAAACTTTAAGTTGCATCCTACAAATTTTACACAAAATATGTTTTGACAAAATCTGAACTCCATAAATGTTAACTTACCATTTATGGTTCGAATATGTTTCAAAATCTCTAGCAGACGTCGGTAGTGCACATTGCGGATTCCGAAAGAAATAAAAAATAAAAAATTGGAATATTCGTTTAAACATTAACAACTCAATTTTTCAGCCAGAGAATTTTGTAATTAAAGGAGCCATATGCTTCCCGAAAGAACTTTCCATAGCATCTTTAATCTTATCAGACAGTGCGTCTGGTATTGAAGCCAAAATTGGACACAATCGATCGCCTATTGTGCAAGAAATTCCTAGTCTACACTATAAATTTCAAAAGAATAATAGACCACATTTCAAATGGATTAAAGTACACATGTCTACTAGTCGCAACAAGCTCGCAGATAAAATAACAAAAGAGGCAGCAAACAATTCTTCCTTTTCAAAATAGGCAATTCCATATCCAAAATCATTAGCAAAACCAAAATTAGTAACAGAATTAATGCACTGATGGAAGCAAACCTGTACTCAAGCAACTACCGAGAGAACGTTTACTTTCATAATCCTTCAAGATCATTAATATCTACCAACCGTTCAATTACATTTTTCCTAACAGCTCATGGTCCATTTCCAGGAATACCTTCATAATTCGGACTTCAGCATACAAATCTCTGTACCTGTGGTAATGAAGGCACAATAGATCATTATCTCTTTCACTGCAACCTTACTAAAGATTATCACCTTAAAGCATACAGTTTAACTTCTGCTCAGTTATGGTTTCAACAGTTATTAAAAAGTAATATTCTAATAATCTTCATAATATAATAAATTATCTCTCCGCAAACATCGATAATCTTAAAGGAACTTGAAATCATTATTCTTTGTTCATTTACCTTACTTAATAAGCCATTTCTATTCATTAATAATCTTTTTTTTATGCTTTTACTCAAGACTTCTTAATTTAAGATCTTCAATTCGCTCAAGATTTAAGAATTTTTCTAACTCCATACTTAATATATTATATAAAATAATTAATAAACTCAAGATTTTATCAGTCTTTTACTCAAGAATTACTCTCTTCAAGAATTTCCAACTTTTCATTGAGTCATCCTAATTCATTCAAATA